TTTGGTTCTATACATTTTTTTTTTCCCGCAATGACTTGAACAATATATTAAAATTATTATATAAATATTAAATAAATATATAAAATAATTATATAAATAATTATTGAAAACAATATGAGAACAGATGCATTGCATCAGTTCTCATATTGTTTTCAAGACATTAACAGATGAGCAATGTGAAGCATGTGTGCTCATCAGCAAAGAACTGTAAAAAGTTAAATTTAAAAACTCACGCCAAGCTTTGTATAGTTTCTGGATACAAATTCACTGAGTTCAGCGTTAATAAAGATCCTTTAGTATTAACACAAGCACTTTTGATGAGTGTATAACCATTGTCTTCAGGTGAAAAGAACAAATTTTAACAAAACAAACGTGCAGGATGTTCCAAAGGAACAGAATATTTAAATTCAAACCAAGTGTCTGGAAATTCTGTTAAGAACGTGCAACTAGTTTTTGATATGTTCGAATCTTTATATCTTACGATGCTAGCGGCGCATGCATGGAAATGCTACCGCGTTGGCGATACAATGTTAGGCACGTTTCGTTTTTTAGACGCCGATACAAGGCAATCCACACCCCAGGTAGATCGAGGGTGGGAACATTGCACGCTTCTGAAGTAGCCGTGAGAAGCACTAAACCCCTGAAAACCCCTAGAAAACCCCTGACTTAGAAAAGTCAGGGGCTTACACGATACACCTAGAAAATCCGGCAACGGGAGCTATTACAAGAGACATAGTAGCAACAACAGGAATTTCCTGCCTTGCTGAGCATCAGGATGACATAGCCAAAGGAAGATGTTCTACAGAGCTCGCTAAAAAAGTTCTGGAGCAAGGCTACAACCCGTTATGGCCCAGAACGGCAATAATTAAATGCTGCAACAATCGAAGGCTGGTGTTCATCTGGGAAGTGCTTCTCACGGCTACTTCAGAAGCGTGCAATGTTCCCACCCTCGATCTACCCGGGGTGTGGATTGCCTTGTATCGGCGTCTAAAAAACGAAACGCACCTAACATCGTATCACCAACACGGTAGCATTTCCATGCATGCACCACTAGCATCGTAAGATATAAAGATTCGAACATATCAAAAACTAGTTGCACGTTCTTAACAGAATTTCCAGACACTTGGTTTGAATTTAAATATTCTGTTCCTTTGGAATATCCTGCACGTTTGTTTTGTTAAAATTTGTTCTTTTCACCTGAAGACGACGGTTATACACGCGTCGAAAGTGCTTGTGTTAATACTAAAGGATCTTTATTAACGCTGAACTCAGTGAATTTGTATCCAGAAACTATAGCAGAGAACTGATTACTGATGATGAAACTTAGATTTTTTGTATAAAGTCAACCTCTTTGAAAAAAAAATTTCATGCCACTTTATGTTTTTCTTTTTGCTTTTATCTATTTAACAGAATTAGGAACATTACTATATAATTTAATTCTCATGAAATAATTGTTTACTATTAAACTCTGTCAGCCAATTGCAGAGATGGCGTTTACATTATATTTAAATTACATTACATTACACTACGAAACACTACATCATTTCTGTTGATTACATTACATTAAATGACATTTAACAGCTGAATGGCATCTAGACATTGGCTGGCTGAACCACGGTTTAAAATGTGTTGCAAAGATGACGATCATCTATTTCTGAATACTGTCTAAATGAACCTTGGCAAAATTGCTCTTACATCGCCATTACTCTACTGTTTTAGGAGTTCTTCAGCCAATCAGGTTATTCATTTGTGGCATCTGAAAAAACTCTGAGGTCATCAGCTATATTCTGAAAGCTTCTGGAACATAAAATCTTAAGGCTGTCAACAATCATTGTTCAGCAATTAATGACAATTCTTTTCCATTTCAATATTTAATTTCATTACCAATATGGTCAGAGCCGGCCCTACCATAGGGCGAACGGAGCAGCCACTCCAGGTGCTAAGTCCTAGGGGGCGCCTCAGTGGTAAAGAAAATTAAAGGAAAAAATATTTTTTTCACTTTTTGATATTTTAATTGCAAGCATGTGACCAGTATGTGAATGGCCTTATCTGTTAAGATGTGTGTGGGTGGGGTTTCACCCTCAGGCGCCATAATAAGATTGCGCTCCATCCTAAAACTTGCCTCGGGCCGGCACTGAATATGGTTTAAAAACCAAACAAATCCAAATTTAGAAAATTTATATACTAAATTTGAAATTCGTCTTCAGAATAATTCCTTAAAAATTATTCCGACATTGCTCTCTCCCTTTGTAATTGTCAAGATGAATAATTTTAAATATTAATATTTTATTATTATTCTTATCGTACTTTATTTATATAAAAGGATTTTGGTAATTATTAAAATTGTCTCATTTGTTTAACAGAACATTCTGACCAAGGGATTAACAATAATGACCATGAAATGCATTAATGTATTATAACTGACATGATACTTGAATTGTAAATAAATGCATCTGATTTAAATTAATTGTAGTTTTATTGGGTTGTTCAGAAAGTAATTTCGTTTTTTTTTTTTTGTGGAAAAAAATGCTGCTTTCGATTTTCCATATTTGATGGGACACAAAAAATAAACAATTGCACAAAATCAAACAAATTTTTTTACAAATAAGCCTTAAAATGCTAGCTGTCAAAATATATAATGATAATACGGTTTAGAATGNTTTAAGTTATTTTTATATTAATTTGTATAATAATATATGTTAAATAAGACATAAACATATGCACACAGAAATGTATAATAATACATTAATTAGTTCATTTTTTGTGACGAAGGTACTGACTTTTCTGAAAATCTTGTTTTTTTGCAATAAAGTCGTGAAGTTTCATTTGTCGCTTTTTTCTCTCCTTAAGCAAATATCAGTAGCAGAAGATCGCATCCTGAATGCCTCGTTTTGCTTTTGCACTCCTTTCAAAATCTAGATCATTTGCTACAATTTGATCAACGATTTCGGTTATCTTATCAAACTTTTACTAAGGAAATCTGTAGAGAATTTTTTGAGTTTTTGTTTTCAGAATCTCTGTTTTCCAGTTCTACATGGATTCCTTGTTCTGTTAGTTCTTGAAGTCATCGTTGGTAAGGCTCTTACCAGAAACCTGCAGTAACTTCCCAATATCTTGCTCATCTACATCTCCTGTATCGATTAAGTTGACAATTTTGTCAACTTAACGATACAGTGATAGGCTCTTCTCGATGAGAATTCTTGGATACCTTCAGCCATAACTTCTTCCACACTCCGTTCATGCAGTTATCAGTTAATTCTTGCCAAGCCAAGTCGCTATTTCCTATGGCATCCATGATGTTATATTTTTTCCAAAATTGCACCAAACAAACATAGATTTAAGGGAAGTACAGCGCTATGACGAATTGCCACCTTTTGCTGATTGGTTTGTGTTTGGGAATAATTGTATTATATACAAATCAATGAAATACTGCATTAATTTGAATCAGCATAAATTTTGAGTGTTTTTTAGGCATCAAGCAGACCACATTATATTGAATCAGCATTAAGTGGGGTTTTACTGTAAGTCTTGAAATGTCAGCTGTCAAAATATATAATGACAAAATGGTTTAAAATGAAATTGGCAGGTAAGAATACAACTAATTCCTCTGGTGGTAAAAAATGAAATTACTTTCAAACAACCCAATGTCTTTGCCCATTTGAATATCAGAATTGGAACATTTAAAACAAATTTAAAGTATTTAATTTTATTATTTTGCTCCAAGCAATTAATTAATGAATAATTTTGTCGATTCATACCATTTACATTTATCAAAGGAACAATATCCACTTTTATTTAAACTTTTCCACAAACAAAACTTTCACTCAAGTTAAAACACCATCTAAACCTGCTATCAAGGAAGTTTAGACAGTAGGACAACTTACCAGTTTCTAAACACTGTCTAAACAGTGGCAAGCAAGAATCACTGGCTCTACAATGTAATTTTTCTGAACCACAGTCTAGACCAGTGTTTTTCAACCTTTTTGAATATGCGACCTCTTTACAAGTTAAAAAATTCTGGCAACCCCCTAGGGCGATATTAAAACTATATCAGTGATTTTAAAAATTATGTATTTAATTTTCTTTCTGTTGAGAGAAATTATTGTTGATTAAAATGAGAATTTAAGAAGAATCGACAATAACTTAAGACACGTATAGTATGAAACTTCCTTTTCATTATAACATTGGGCTCTGGGTGCTATTGACCTTTTTTTTATTTATTTTTCTTTAGGACGAGAGTTCTGAACTTCTACTTTTCTACTTATTACTTCTTTTTACAAGTCAGCTCAACACTTTTTCGGTTATCATTTTCTGGGGTGGGCGTACCCACCCAGGCCCCATCCTGGTGACACCCATCGTTCAGACCTAAATGCCAATCAAAAAACCAATTATACTGTATAATAAATAGGTACAGCCTTCTCGCTAAAATTGTAGTTTTTTTAAATGTAGTGCAGGACCTACAAACACTTGTCTTTTTCTTTTACCCGCGACCCCCCGTGTAAGGCTTTGCGACCCCCCTGGGGGTTGCGACCCACAGGTTGAAAAACACTGGTCTAGACTATCTCTAAAGCACTATTGGCACCTAAAAACATTGTTTCTGCAATTGGCCCTTTTAGTCACTGGCTTCATTACTGTCAAAAAGATTTTTTTATTATTTTCTAAAATAGTACAGTAATGTGTATTAAGTGTTCTTTAATGAGAATTTCTAACTGCTGAACTGAAATACATATACTTGATAATTCTGTCTTACAATATTAACATAATAACAAAAGCTTCAGATCACAAACAAAATTAGAAAGTAATTTTGTTTGTGATCTTAAGCTTTACAAGAAGATACATAAAATGAAGATACATCTCTTAAAATACACATTTCAGAGATACATGAAGATACTGAATTATATGTTATTTCGAAACTGTGTTGTACTAAATTTTTGAGAGTATTAAACACAAGATTGTGTTATTAATCAATCACATGGCTTCTTTTCCATCTTTATTTAATTGATATGGTATTTCTACACGTTTCAGGCTTTTGGCCCCTCATCAGTCAACATTAATCACGAAATGGCACTTGTACACCATAAGTTTGCATTTACAGACTAGAAGAATGAGGTGGTTACACGGACATTTTAATTTTCAGTGCATTGTTGGTTATATTCATTCCTCTTATAAAAGGTGACAAATATACGTTGTTAAGTCCTTTCGGATGTATTTGTTGGCTCATTTACAAATTTAAGGACTTTCTCATAATTTGTACAAATTTCCTTAGTATAACTTGTTCTACTTTTTGGTTGAACTTTTGCTTAGCACTATCAGGTAGTGTTTCTGACTATTTACGACAGTTGAAATTCTGACTGTCTTGAATAGTCAGAAACACTACTTGATAGTGCTAAGCAAAAGTTGACTCAGTGACAAAAAAATCACTAAAATAATTACTTTAAATATTTTTCATTCTTTAACAAATCTGTTGCAATAAGTACTTTATACAATCATAATATTTAATTTTTATTACTGTAACTACAAGTATTGTTAGTAATTTCAACAAAATATATTTAATTTAAACTAATTTAGTGAATATATTTAAAAATACTTTATTCTCTACAATGGGCTGAAGTTTGACTTTTAACTAATTGTGGAGTATCACTTTATCCTCACAATTCAATTTAAGTGCCATTTATTTATACTTGAAGATGTTTATTATTATTCATTTATTCATTATTTAAAAAAAAAAATATATTCTCTATATACTGTANAATATTTTTTCTACTAACAATATAATTTTTTTATTCTTTTATAAATTAATAATTTTAAATAAAATATAATTGTTTAGTTATGTTTTAACCAACAAATAGTTGATAATTTAATTTTTCTTAATTAAAATGATTTTTTGATAGAGAATTTTGTAGTTATTTATACATAAAAACTAAATCATGCAATGAATCATTATATAAAATGATTCTGTATATAATACTAAAAGTTTGTTTTTTAACTTTTATGAATAAGTTATCACATTTTTAATTAATTTATTTATATATCAATATATGAAACATGAAATGCCGTAATGTAAATGCCAAAAAACTTTGTTTTTTGGGAGATAAAAAATATTTTTTCTATCAATTTTACAATAAAATGGTAAAAACCTCACTAGGTTACAAATTCTCTGGAATAAATAATTGATGTAAACATAATCTGCAATGTCATTGTACACTTCATATACATTGCAATATATACTTCATTACAATATATTCAAAATATTTAAATTTAAGTTAACAAATTTTTTGTTTTTATCTGAGTTGTATCATTTCTTTACACTAATTTTATATTTGAAAATATCCAACTTACAAACTTACAAAGTAAATTATAAAGTACAGTAATACCTCAACTTACGCGAACCCGGAGTTATGCGATTTTCAAATCTCGTTGAATCGTCTTTTGTTTGAGCGCTAGGCAACTCTTGATTAGTCACTCCCCCACACTATTGTTCAGCTTACATGTTCGGACGTGTAGCGCGGAATCAACACATAGCTACAATTTATTTTGTGTTATTTATTTCTGTGTATTTTATATCTACGGAGACTCGAGAGACTCTATGTGGTGATTTCTTGTAACCGTGAATAAATCAAAAGACGAGATAAGATTAATGAGAACATTTATTAGCTTACATACATCCGAATTTTGATTTTACGCAAATTGTGAAATTATACCCTGACATACGCGAATTCAACTTACGTGGTTATCGCTCGGTCCCACCTATCGTGTAAGCTCGGGGTATCACTGTATATAAAATATTTTAAAGTAATAATATAACATTTAGCAAAAATTTATATCTTAAAACTTTGCAAAACTATAAACTTAAACTGATATTTATTATTATTAATTTTTTTTAATGTAGTTGCCACTTTATTATTTTTAACTGGTGAAAAAGCTATCAGACATTTGTTTTCAAGAGAAACACATTATCAATTTGATATAATACCAATGTTGGTTGTATTTCCATTATACTTTTTATTGGCCTGTTGGTCTGCGGGGACATCAATTGCTAGTGGTGTTGTTGTACCTAAAATGTAAGTATTATTTACCATTTTACAATAAAATGGTAAAAACCTCACTAGGTTACAAATTCTCTGGAATAAATAATTGATGTAAACATAATCTGCAATGTCATTGTACACTTCATATACATTGCAATATATACTTCATTACAATATATTCAAAATATTTAAATTTAAGTTAACAAATTTTTTGTTTTTATCTGAGTTGTATCATTTCTTTACACTAATTTTATATTTGAAAATATCCAACTTACAAACTTACAAAGTAAATTATAAAGTACAGTAATACCTCAACTTACGCGAACCCGGAGTTATGCGATTTTCAAATCTCGTTGAATCGTCTTTTGTTTGAGCGCTAGGCAACTCTTGATTAGTCACTCCCCCACACTATTGTTCAGCTTACATGTTCGGACGTGTAGCGCGGAATCAACACATAGCTACAATTTATTTTGTGTTATTTATTTCTGTGTATTTTATATCTACGGAGACTCGAGAGACTCTATGTGGTGATTTCTTGTAACCGTGAATAAATCAAAAGACGAGATAAGATTAATGAGAACATTTATTAGCTTACATACATCCGAATTTTGATTTTACGCAAATTGTGAAATTATACCCTGACATACGCGAATTCAACTTACGTGGTTATCGCTCGGTCCCACCTATCGTGTAAGCTCGGGGTATCACTGTATATAAAATATTTTAAAGTAATAATATAACATTTAGCAAAAATTTATATCTTAAAACTTTGCAAAACTATAAACTTAAACTGATATTTATTATTATTAATTTTTTTTAATGTAGTTGCCACTTTATTATTTTTAACTGGTGAAAAAGCTATCAGACATTTGTTTTCAAGAGAAACACATTATCAATTTGATATAATACCAATGTTGGTTGTATTTCCATTATACTTTTTATTGGCCTGTTGGTCTGCGGGGACATCAATTGCTAGTGGTGTTGTTGTACCTAAAATGTAAGTATTATATTTATTATTTTAATTAACTTTAAAAAAAAATATTTTTGGTTTAAATTGAAATTATTTTAATAACAAATTAAATTCAGTAAGAAATGTCTTAATAAATTATTTTAAATTTTAAGCTTTTATTTGTCATTTTTCATATAATTGGGAACTATAATGGCAATAATTGTTATATATCAAATATCAACAATTGATAAATAAATAACTATACAGTATTATTTAAACACTGTTTCTATCTACTTTAAAGGAAGAAATAATGTTCAGTTTTAATGAATATAATGAATAGTAAATTGTAGTTTAAAAGGCAGATCAAAATTACCATATAATATGCACACAATTAAAAATATCCACAATTAAAAATAATTTTAATTACAGATATTTTTAAATAATATATATTATTAATTTTTGTTTTGAAATGTTAAATGAAATACTATAATTGTTGAATTTTGAAAAACTTCAAAAGAGAAATCCTTGTGGTGTAGATAATGTTCTAATTAAAAAATGTGAATTTTACATGTATGCAAAATTTGTTTTTTTGGAATTGTTTGAAAATACATTTTATACCGATGTTTTCATAAATAAACAAAGAATTTTTATACTTATTGATTTTTATTTTTCATTAAATAATTTTTTGGATTTCGCAGATACAGTGTGACCATAAGATATAATCAAATAATTGATTCTTTGCTGACTATTAGCAATAAAAATATCTATTTATCCTCAAATGTCTGTTTTCTTATCATTTCATCAAAACAGTTTTTGAGTTATAATTTTTGCAGACCGTTAAAACTTTTCTATGAGAAATGTTTACACTCAAATCAGTGTTTGAAATGTGCCTTGGATATCATCAATGAGGAAAATTATAACAGATATCAAATTTTAAAAATCCATTACTGTCAATTTTAATTATTTGATAAATATTTAGAAATAAATAGAATATTTGAGAATGAGATGAATGCATTGTTAGTGGCAATAATATGAAATATTTTTAATATATCTTTCATTATACTTTTACTGAGTTTACTACATAATGTTCTCATATCAACTATGCAATTCTTGAATGCTATGTATGCTGCAATTTGTCAATATCCACAAAATTCAAATCACTTAAGTACAATTTGAATTAAAATTATGATTTTAAATTAGATATATAATATTATTATTGTGTTAAAATTAAAATGTTCATAAACCAAGGCTTTTCAAAAGAAATTTTACTATACATTAAAAGCAATATTCAAAAAGTTCTTAAAATATATATTCTATATCATCTCTTATATGCTTTTTAGATGGTAAAAGAATAATCAAAATTTATATATGCAATATGTAATCATATAAACCATTTAACTGATTCCATTGAAACTGACATTCATTGATATAAATATCAACTTTATTTTATTTCATATCCTTTTAGTGAATGTCTAAAAAACTGAAGATTATAAACTGTAAATTATGAAATTTATATTTCTGTACTATATTGATATCAACAAACTACCTATTTTGATTTTGAAATGTTTTCTTTAGATATTTATATTTTTGAAAAGTAGTTTTAATAACATACAATCTAAATAAGAATGGATGAATATCAGAAAAAGTTTTTGCTTTAAAAAATAATAGTTTTTATAAAATATAAAACTCACATCTCATCAAAATTATCTTATAAAAACTTATATAAAATCTATATTTTATAAAGGTTTTTGTTCAAAGATGGTTATAAAAACTATTAACAGTTGAAAATGTTATTCTTAATTAAGAAAATAAATTTATGAAAATTGTTTTTTGAAACTTTATGAAATGAGAATAATTTATGATTCTTTATACTAGTTCTTAGATAAACGATTGAATAAATTGATGTTGCTAAATTAGAAAATTATCCAGGAAAATTTTATAAAATGAATTTTAAGAAAAATATTTTTGATGATTTACTTCAAATTGTGTTTTTATATATAAACTGCACTAGCAAATATTTATTGTGACATCATCACAATGCCAGGCTGCAATTTTTAATCATATTTTTTAAATTTATTTAATTTAAAATATATGCTGTCCACCTCAAATTAGTAGTGTCTTGCCCCTGTACATACTTTTCCTGTTAGCAGTCAACTTGTGCTGGTCATCTAACTCTTTTCAGGGGAAAATTTTTTGAATTGAAATAACACGAAGCATCAGAAGTTCAATCGGGGCCTCCTGCCCAAATCGCTAGTGCAGTTTATATATAAAAAGACAATTTGAAGTAAATCATCAAAAATTTTTTTTTTTTAATTCATTTTATAAAATTCTTCTAGATCAATTTTCTATTATAGCAACATCAATTAATTCAATCTTTCCATATCTGGTCTCGGCTTTCATCTATGTAACTCCATTCTAGAGATTAGAGAAGGACAGACAATAGATGACAGTGGAAATTTATAGGTCCATAATTTTTTTTAAATTGCATCCAAACAACTTTTTTATGTAATAAAATAACAGTACAGTATATGAAAGAAATAATGTGAGAAATATTTATCATTTTATTAAAAATATTTATTTATATAAATACAATTCTTAAATTATTCAACAATAAACACTTTTATAAATTGTATTTTATTTCTATATAAAAGTTTAAATTAATTAACTTTCCAAACTTTTACCTACTGAACTTTTCTCTTTTTCTTTACTAACACAGGTATTCTAATATGAGAATTTCTGTCTAGAAAATAAAATATTAAATTTAATATAATGTTATTAAATAAGGTTCATACTCATAAAAAAAAGTAATTATAATGAGCAAATATTTATTGTGACATCGTCACAATGTTGGACTGCAACTTTTAATCATATTTTTAATTTATTTTTTTAAAATATTAATATATTTTTTCCATCTCAAATTGGTAGTGTCATGCCCCTCTACATCATACTTTTCCTGTAAGAATAGAGTCATCTGTCGAACTGCTTTTAGGGAAAAAATTTTGAATTGAAAGAACATGGCTTCCAGTTTGCATCAGAAGTTAGTATATAGTTAATTGGGGTCTCCTGCTCTTAAGCTTTTCATATATGGTCTTGGCTTTCATCTACAGTAGAGCGTCGTTTATCCGAATCAATTGGGGACTGGGGTTGTTCGGATAACTTATTTTTCGGATAACCGATTATGTACGAAAAATATATTAACCTATTTCATGTTGAAATTTTTTTCCATTGCGTGTTGCTTTGCGTTGAATTTTCATCGATGTTAAGTTTAACGTAAACTTTTTAAAATAATAATCATGGCTATTGTATCGTTAAAAATTATTTTTTATTTTTTACAAACAAAATAAATATATTGAAAAATATAAAAACAAAAAAAATCATACTTTAGAAGTTAATATAGTATCAAAAACGTTTGATTCAGCATGACACACAGTCCTCAGAAAAACACCACACAAAAGTACCAGTGCTGCCAGCTAAAATACATACACAAATAAAAAAATATTGGATTAGCCCAAGACATAGCCAAAGATTGCAGCGCCACAGCATTAGCAAAAATTTAAATTTGCTGACTAGAATGCTTTCGGATAACCGACATTTCGGATAAATGACGCTCTACTGTATTTAACTCTATTCTTGAGATTAAGAAAAGATGGATGGACAGTGGGAATTTATAGGTTTACAATTTTTTCAAATTGCAGCCCAATTACATATGTATTTGTTAAATTTACAGTATATGTAGATAAGTGTTTTATTAGAATTATTTATAATTTCATTTTAGAATCAAACAAAACATTTACCATTCTGTAAATAATTTTAATGTGAACTTGACAAACATTTTCAATCTTAGACAAGATTTGGTTCAGGTCAACAACATTTAGAATGCACAGAACTATTTATATTTTGTTCCAATATTTAAAAAAATTTAAAAGATGTAAAATATAAAATTGAATAAATAAAGATTCAGATATCTTTTAAAATGTATAAAATTAAAACAGATACAAATATAAAAAGTAAAAATATCACAAAAATAATAATAACTAATTCATATTGTCCCAGTTTTTCATAAAAGTATTGCCAAGCATATAAGATGATTTTCCATCCTTAAAATTAATGCAATTGCCCGATGGGTCAGCTATGTATATTCCTAAAGCTTTTAGAACCCTTTTTGGACAGTATGCAAGGATTGTTTGATTAATGTGGTCATCTGGAGGTTGGTTTCATGCCGGTCTCTTTGGTGACATAAATATTTCTTGTGTAAGATCAAAAACGTTTGTTGAATTCACATTAAAATTATTTACTGGATGGTAAAGGATTTGTTTGATGTAATTAATTATCAATCTAGTTATTGAGAAGTTAATTTTATTTCATTTTAGGTTGATTGGTGGATTGATGGGAAGACTTGTAGGAAGAGGAATGGTAGACATTTTTGGTGTCCATACTGAAAGTTATTGGGGATGGATGGATCCAGGTGCATTTGCTTTGTTAGGTGCTGCTGCGTTTTTTGGAGGAGTTTCACGATTAACTATGTCTCTGACAGTTATCATGGTGAATAATGTTGCATCATTTAATTTATAGAAATTTGTTATTTTAAAATAAGCTTGAGTTGTTTTGCATTTTATTTTAAAATCAATTCTAGATGGAACTAACCAATGATGTTCAGTTTTTATTATTAATAATGGTGGCAATTATGATTGCAAAATGGATGGGGGATTTTGTCACTCATCCATTCTATCATTCATTATTGGAATTTAAGTGCATACCATTTCTGGATTCTGAACCTGTTATTTATTATAACAATAATAATAAGTAAGTTTTAACATATTTTATTATTATTTTACATAATTATTATATATAACATTTAATCTTTTTAAATACAGCTTAAATCTAGAATTATTTGTGGCTAAACATGCAGCATCTGCTCCTGTAAAAACTGTAAATACTATTGAAAGTGTATCACATTTAGCCAAATTATTACTCCACACTAAACATTCAGGTTTTCCTGTAGTTCGTAACATGGGAGATCAAGGTGAAAATACATTCTGTGGTTTAGTGACAAGGTTTGTTTGTTCATTCTTAATATTATCTAGTTGAATAGTTTAACATCTTATTTTATATTATAAATAAAATATTAAAAATATTGAATGAAAACTTACCTCAAAACAATTACCCAATTGATCTAATTTAAAGAATCATCAAGGTAGCTTTCAAGCTAATAGAATTTTTTAAAGAAATATTTTTTAATTTATTGTCATTTCTTAATATTTTTTAATATTTTTTTATTTACATATATATCTTAATATTTCTAGATAAAACACTTTAATTAGAATTTTAAAGAATATGACATTTTTTTAAAAATTTTATTATTTTTTTACCTGTTCTTATCATTAGCTTTTGCATAATACTTCCTATAATATTACATTTATTTGATCACATAACTCTTTGTAATCATTCTATAAGGCAACATCTATTAATCGGTAAATACTCATAAGTTTTTTGCTACAAGCTAAGCATTTTTAAATTATAATTTCTACATTTTGCTCATTTTGGTTGAACCTAATTCTTGTATAAATGAATATTAAAAAATATTGATATGTTTAAATGAAATATATCAATAAAGATAGATTTATTGATATAAAAAATGAAAATAGATTTAAATAATCCTATAAAACTTAGAGCTACAAGTTTAAATTAAAACCTCATCTCTTATCATTGAAATTAAGTTAAACATACTGTAAACAAATGAAATATTCAGTCAAATACTAGTGTAAAAAAATTGACTAAATTTTTCTTTTCATTTTATTTTTTTTAATTTGTTGAGTTTTTGCTCTGTACACAGTAAGATTTTTTCATGCCAATTGTGAGTTTGGCCTCCACAATGAAAGCAGCTGGGTGATGAGGGACAGGGTTTAACATATCAGGAACAGATCATTCTCAAAAAATTCCTGGGGAATTGCTTGTCCAGGTTCAATTCTATTTCCCCCAGAGCAGTTGGCTGATGCCTTAAGTAGATAGATGGCTGTATGGTCCTAGCAATCTGTATGTTCTGTTTAAAATTATTCAAAAAATATTTTATTTTTATACATGAAACTGTTTTAAATATGTTTGTAATTTTTCTTGTCTATCCAGTAAACTTTTTGAAGAATACCATTTGTCATAGCAGTCATATGTCATATTTTGTTAAATAAGCCATTCAACAAGTAAATTCTCTCTTAAATTGTTATTATGTATTTGAATTACAGTGATTTTAATGCTACAGTTATAGTATTATTTATTTACATTTGCTCAGTAATGCTATATAGCATTAGATCATTACCTTCAACAATACAATTAATATGTCCCATAAAAACTAAAACAATTGACAACAATAAATAAATAAAGTACATATAAATTATTAAAAGCTAAAAACAAGATTTAAAAAATTACAAAATATATAAAAATATATAAACTATACTTAATTGAAAATAACATGATAAAAACAAAATATGGGTATATAATAAAAAGTTACAATGGCAAATTATTCATTGATCATTAAAGCATTACTCATTGTAATGCAGTTTCCATAATAATAATATTCTTAATGAAATAAATTTTGAATAGAGTGTTGAAGTTTATCCAAATACCTAAGAACAAAATTTACCTAAGATTAATATAAACTAAGTGAAATATTATTTAAATGGATCCTGAAAACTATATTTGTTAAAAATATTTATTTTTTATATAAAAACATCATCAAAATATAAATAAAAACAATGTCAATTTTTTTTATTTTTTGAATAAAAAATGAATTCTTATAATTTTTCATTTATTACTTTTTGTTGAGAATTTTTTGTTATAATTTAGTAATTTAGTGCATTTTTATTAAGTGATTAAAACCAACAAAAATTCTTATGTCAAACACAATAAAACTTTTTCATTTGTATAATATTTAAATAGATATTCGTTGAAGATTAACTATTTATGATGTTTCTTCAATTGTTTTTAATTTATTTAAAATCTTAGGAAAAAAACTAAACAAAACAACAAAGTTCATTTTAAACAAGACAAATTTTGTATAAAAGAAAGTTATTTGTTCCAAATATCATTATTGTTTGAATAAAAAAAACAAAATAATAGTATTTTATTTATAATTTATTTTAAACATTGTTTCTTGTAGTAATTTTACATGAACTTGCATAATAAGTTACAAAGACTTATTTAAATTTTTATATGATGAATTTTTAACAATGTTATAAAAATTTATTGACAAACTGTTTTCATTCAATTTGATAAGCCATTTTCTACAAAGATTAACAAAAAAAATGCACACATTAGGATAAATTATTGAAATTTTCATTCTAATTGTAAATAATCTATAATGTTTTTGTTTAAGTTTTAAATTTTAAAAATTTCATTTGTAAAACTTACACTGTAATATTTTAAATTGAATTGAAAGAATTTTTATTAATTCTTTCAATTTATAAATTACAGAACAGAAATAAGTGTTTTATTATGCCATGAGAAAGCATTTGAACAATGTCAAAATTATGGAGAAGAAGAGCCAGACATTTTAGATGTGGATTATTCAGAGGTAAGNGCAGTTGGCTGATGCCTTAAGTAGATAGATGGCTGTATGGTCCTAGCAATCTGTATGTTCTGTTTAAAATTATTCAAAAAATATTTTATTTTTATACATGAAACTGTTTTAAATATGTTTGTAATTTTTCTTGTCTATCCAGTAAACTTTTTGAAGAATACCATTTGTCATAGCAGTCATATGTCATATTTTGTTAAATAAGCCATTCAACAAGTAAATTCTCTCTTAAATTGTTATTATGTATTTGAATTACAGTGATTTTAATGCTACAGTTATAGTATTATTTATTTACATTTGCTCAGTAATGCTATATAGCATTAGATCATTACCTTCAACAATACAATTAATATGTCCCATAAAAACTAAAACAATTGACAACAATAAATAAATAAAGTACATATAAATTATTAAAAGCTAAAAACAAGATTTAAAAAATTACAAAATATATAAAAATATATAAACTATACTTAATTGAAAATAACATGATAAAAACAAAATATGGGTATATAATAAAAAGTTACAATGGCAAATTATTCATTGATCATTAAAGCATTACTCATTGTAATGCAGTTTCCATAATAATAATATTCTTAATGAAATAAATTTTGAATAGAGTGTTGAAGTTTATCCAAATACCTAAGAACAAAATTTACCTAAGATTAATATAAACTAAGTGAAATATTATTTAAATGGATCCTGAAAACTATATTTGTTAAAAATATTTATTTTTTATATAAAAACATCATCAAAATATAAATAAAAACAATGTCAATTTTTTTTATTTTTTGAATAAAAAATGAATTCTTATAATTTTTCATTTATTACTTTTTGTTGAGAATTTTTTGTTATAATTTAGTAATTTAGTGCATTTTTATTAAGTGATTAAAACCAACAAAAATTCTTATGTCAAACACAATAAAACTTTTTCATTTGTATAATATTTAAATAGATATTCGTTGAAGATTAACTATTTATGATGTTTCTTCAATTGTTTTTAATTTATTTAAAATCTTAGGAAAAAAACTAAACAAAACAACAAAGTTCATTTTAAACAAGACAAATTTTGTATAAAAGAAAGTTATTTGTTCCAAATATCATTATTGTTTGAATAAAAAAAACAAAATAATAGTATTTTATTTATAATTTATTTTAAACATTGTTTCTTGTAGTAATTTTACATGAACTTGCATAATAAGTTACAAAGACTTATTTAAATTTTTATATGATGAATTTTTAACAATGTTATAAAAATTTATTGACAAACTGTTTTCATTCAATTTGATAAGCCATTTTCTACAAAGATTAACAAAAAAAATGCACACATTAGGATAAATTATTGAAATTTTCATTCTAATTGTAAATAATCTATAATGTTTTTGTTTAAGTTTTAAATTTTAAAAATTTCATTTGTAAAACTTACACTGTAATATTTTAAATTGAATTGAAAGAATTTTTATTAATTCTTTCAATTTATAAATTACAGAACAGAAATAAGTGTTTTATTATGCCATGAGAAAGCATTTGAACAATGTCAAAATTATGGAGAAGAAGAGCCAGACATTTTAGATGTGGATTATTCAGAGGTAAGAATAGAAAAATTTTTCCAGATTAAGCATTATACAAAATTTTCTAATCAATGTTTTTCTACTATTTTAAGTTTATTAAAGCAGGAGAAAAAAACAAAGAAAAATTCCATATATATAAATAGCATTTTCAGATATTCTAATATTAAACTGAAAAAATAAAAGGCACGTGAATAGTTGAGAAAACTTTTAAATGCCTGAAAGATACAGTACAGTTATATGAAAATAGTTCTTTTTTGAATTTCTTGTAATATCTAGTTGATACTGATTATCCCTTTTTTCTTATTAATTGTATTCCCAATCTTAACTAAATTATATATTAATTTTTTTCTTATTTTAACATTATGCAATTACATTTATTTTATATTTTTTCATTATTTCTATTTAATATGTATTTCACTTTTATCACAAACTTACAGTAAAGATTAGAGCTTTGTAATTAATCTTTGTATTCAAATGTTAATTTGTAAATGTTGAAAATGATAAATTCCTAATCATTCACAGATGTTTCATAGAAATATAAGAACTACAGTTCTTAGATTATTTTTAGTAAATTAATATTTTTAACAAAATTTGACTTAACTAGAAAACCATTAAATAGTAATATTAAATACTGATATTAAAAAGAAATTTGTCATTCTGCTCTTACTATGAAAAATTGCTTTATGTTTGTTACTTAAATATTCCGAATGCTATTGTTGGTTTAGCACTAGAAATATGGAATTCATATATTGGTGGAATACATGAAAAGAAGATTTAGTGTGAATTCTGTTTCAGAATTCAGATATTTCAATAATTATTGATTTTTAAAATAAAATAGGAAAAAAATAAACTTTTAAAATTGCCATGTGGTGAATTTCTAATTATTGTTAGAAATCTGAGATGAAATGGCATTCAAATTCATCATGTTTTAGCAAATGTGCTGCCAGTTATACTGTTTGGACATCAATATGAAATCCATTCTCATTTATATTAAATTGAGCTGCAAATTGTAAAAATTGTAGACCTATAAATTCCCACTGTCTGTCTGTCTGTCCTTCCTTAATCTCGAGAATGAAGTTAGACAGATGAAATCTGAGAATAGATATAGAAAGTTTAGGGGCAGGTGACCCCAATTAACTATATACAAAGTTCTGATGTAAATCAGAAGTCCTATTACAGTGGGTGATCGGTTAACGAACATAATCCGTTCCAAAACTTTGTTCGTTAACCGATTATCGATTTACCATAGGTTTTAATGGGAATTTAATTAATTCGTTCTGGAGACCGCTAAAAATAAAAAAATATATACTTTCTTACTACGTTTATTTATACATAACAATAAAATGCACAGTCTTGCGTTTTTATTAGTCATGTTTTTTCCGTTTGAAAGGGTTAAAGAATCTAATGTCGATAGCTTTTCTCTCTTCTTCAGGATTTTACATAAGTAATTAATAGGATTGCAATTGTAGAAATCCCCAAGCCTCAACCTAGTTTGGATGCCTTTCTAAGACCGTTGTTCTGACATCTTCCCACTTCTTCAAAAGATCTTTAATAGCAAATATCGGCATTAATCCTCTTTTTCAGAAGAAAACATATCTCGCCGAGTATCTTGGTGTTCTTCATTCAAGAGTTTTTGACGTTCTTTTGTCGTCAGATCCGTTTCAGGTTCCATTATGAACTCTTCGATGTTCTTTATTTCTCAGATGTGACTTTTATTACTCCTTTAGCTGCTTGAGTCTTCTTGATTATACAGTATTTTTCTTAAATAAGATTGAACTACGGCCTACTGTAGACCTGTTCACGCCATACTGCCCAGCAACATTAGGCATCTTCTGCCCACTTTCTACCTTTGCTATTATACTCTCACCTTTTGAAAAGAAAAAAAAACAGACGCAAAACTTAACTTGTGCCTACCCGACAGTCTCGCGAATACATAAAAGAATTGTTTTGTCAGAAAAATAAAAGGCTGGAAATACAAGGGAGAGTTTTAAAGTTTGGAGGAATACTATCCGATTGGTATATACCGGCTTGAGCGTCGATGTCGATGTCTCCCACACTCCGAAAAGTTTCGAATTGTTGCCTGAAGACAAGAGAAGACCAATCGGTATTCATTATTTTACGTCGCTTCTTCTTGTGTTCATTCTGTGCAGTGTTCGTTATCCGATCATGTATTCGTTGTCTGAACATAAAAATCTTTCGCGAAAGTGTTCGTTATCCGATCTGTTCGTTAACCGATCACCCACTGTATTTCAATTTTAAAATTTTTCCCTGAAAGGAGTTGATAGATGATTGGCATAACTCTATTGTTAAAGGAAAAGTATGGTGTACAGGGGCAAGACACTACTAATTTGAGGTGGAAAGAATATACTTTAAATTAAAAAAAAAATTATGATTAAAAATTGCAGCCTGGCATTGTGACGATGTCTCAATAAATAATTGCTTGTTTGGAAATAATAGGTAGGTTTTAGTCTTGCTTCTTTCAGATTTCTAAAATATTAATTAAATTGAATTAACTAGCCATTAAAATTAAATCATGATGAGTACACACATGCACACGCATACACATGAAACAAATTGCACCTGAAATTGTAAAATTCAGTATATTTCATATTAAAATATTTAATTATTCCAATTATTAAGTTTACATTACAGATAGATTTATTATTATATGTTAGAAACTTTAATGATGAATAAATTAATTAAATTTTGATATACAGTAAAAACTGGTTTAGTAAACACACTCAGGACTAAAAGCTTTGTCTGCTTAACTCATGTTCATTAAAAAATTTTCATATATATTACAATATTCAACATAATGCATGGATTTTTAAATAATAAAGACATATTTTTGCTTTGTAACAAAGAAAAGATGTAATAAAAGCAGTAATCAGAAATAGACAAAGAATTGTTGATATTACAAAGCCAATTTTATGCAATAAATAATTAACATAATTAGAAACTAATTATTAATTCATTTAAAGAAATTTAAAGAAAAGTTCTGGAATGGAATAGTTCTTAACATTGCAAACGTTGCAAACTAGGAGATAACATTACAGAATATGCTATTGAAAGCTTTTCAAACAGGATGTTTGCCAGTTTTGCCAGCACATGATTTATTTCATTTATTCTACTTCTGTTATTTTTTCTTCAGAATTCTCTGAGTTTTTTAATGCTTTTCTTTCATTATGCAAAGAAGAAATGCACCATCAATCTCCCAATGTTTGATATGAAGAGTATTAAAAATATTAACTTATACTGGAACTAGAAAGAATTAAACAAATTACCACCTTTTTAAATATTCCAGCAAATAATTTAATATCGTAAAAACGTTTTCGATTGTCTTTAACGATCGTCATCAGTTAAATAAAAAGAACATTAAAGAAATAGAACATAAATTAAAATTACGAAAAAACCCACGTCTAACAAGCACTCCATCAAACATCTTGAAAAGCTTGAGATTTATAAAGCCTAAGGGAAAACTTCTTGTATCAATCATAGGGAAGCCCACTCTCTATCTACAGCATGGAAATCATTTTATGAAGATAAACTGTAATTTTTATGAGGCATTAGTTTTTAATGCAAAACTGTTGAGCTTTTTATTTTTATTTTATTTTTTATATTCTTATATCCCTATCTTTTTGTATTCATTCCATTAAGCGCATATCATTACATACTTATGCGCAGTTATTTTTTCGTAATTTTAATTTATGTTCTATTTCTTTAATGTTCTTTTTATTTAACTGATGAAGATCGTTAAAGACAATCGAAAACGTTTTTACGATATTAAATTATTTGCTGGAATATTTAAAAAGGTGGTAATTTGTTTAATGAAGAGTATTAGAATATTATCTAAAAATGGACTGTGAAAACATCATTTGACAACTTTAAGAACACAGAAATTCTACGAAACAATGATACCAAAGACATCATGATAGTTTTTAACTGATATGCATGGAAAGCATGTNAGTTCCCACAATCCCAAAGACATCATGATAGTTTTTAACTGATATGCATGGAAAGCATGTAATATTGTCTATTTAACAGAGATTTTGAAAGGAAGGAGTGTAGGAATTTTTTGTCTTTTGTCTACAGATGGCAGTGTTCACTTAATCCAGGTAAAAATATATTAATAGTCTTATTACTATGGCCAGGATGGATATTTTGTCCACTAAGTATAGGTGTGTGATAAATTCAGGTTTTATGATATTTGAATGATAATGAATAAATTGAATGAGATTCAAATTTCAATTCTTATTTTATTTATTGAGTGCATTATAAATTGAATCTTGTACTGTACATTCTAAATGGAAGCTTGATCTAGATAAATATATTTCAAATAAATAAAACATTTTTTTTAAACTAAATTGAAATTTTCACAAATCATTTCTCATTTTTAGTTTTGTGATGATGATATTGAGAAACTTTCTGCATCCAGCAGTTTTAATGATTTATTGAAGAAATTATCAAGTGAAGATTTTGATAATATGCAAGTTAATTTGGTATGTAACTATTTGAAACTTTATTAAAATTCTTTTTTACATGAAAATTTTTTATGTTTCCTAATACAGTCAAACCTGTCTATAACGAAACTCCAAGGGACTGAACAACTCTTCTATAGTTTATACAGGTTACATACTATAGATATTCCTTGATTAATGCAAATAATAAATTTCTGAATGTTACCGCATATATGAAAATCATGTTAATGAATACAGTGGTACATCAGTACTCGACTGAACAATCACCACTCTCTACAACAGATTTTCAGTTAATAACAAATATTTTTATTTGACCTTTAATTTTTTCATTCATCTGTAAAAAAGTTCTCTGTGATAAAAATGAGTAACCAATTTAAAAATAAAATAAAACCTTACAGCTGCCTACCTTTATCAGACAAAATTATACTCAATTCAGTTCATTTTTTTCATAAGTGAAAAACAACATGCTGTGTGCAGAACACAATCATCAGTATGTTTTACAACCATTTCAAGTGGATGAAGTGTTTCAACAATACATGTCAGTGACATACTAAGATTTGTTGCAAATTCACGAGTGGTTATTCATGGTGTTAAATTTCTTTAACATCACAAATAACCACTTCTTTAAAAATTTCTTCTCTCAATTTCTCTTCAACAGTTTTTGGGGGCTCGTATGTTTTGTATCCTTTAGTTCAAAATTTCCTGAATGAAAACCACATTTGACATTCAGAGTTTAGCAGTATCTTCCCCATACACAGTACAAGTATTTTTTGCTATTTGTTCTAGAACATGCTCTGGCTCTAGAAAAGTATACTAGAATAGCATTCTGACAGGACAGATTTCATCCACTTGTTTATCTAGATCAATGGTTCCCAATTAGTGGTACGCGTACCCCTGGGGGTATGCAAAATTGCGTGAAGGGGTACGCGCGGCAATCTAAAATCGGTTGATTTAAATTTAAATGCATGAGATTAAGCAATCAAAAGAATAATGGGTGGACAGTCAAAAATTTGGCAATTTACAACACGATGTCGAATGTACAAATTCATTTATTTATAACTAAAAATATTCTCGAAATTTCATCAAAAAAATGCATGAATGAAATTCTTACACTAGAAACAAAAATTATACAATTATCATTATCATCACGTCAACGAAGCGGCAATAAAATATTTACTACCATTTTGCACAACATATCTCTACGAGAGCGGATTTTCGGCTGTGACAAACATGAAAACTAAACATCTCCTACTTCAACTCGAAGATGACTCAAGACTGAAGCTGACCAAAAAAGCAACCAGATTTTACAAAGTTGTGCAAAGAAAATCATGCACATTTGTCACATTAAAATCAAATAACCTTATGTTGTTTTCATTATTATTAGAATTGTATTATAAAGGTAATAAATGTAAAAAAAAACTTATTCTATTTATTACTAGCTGTCTACCCACAGCTTCGCCTGCATTATATCGAATTTTCTCATGGGAGTAAGATATTTTCTCGCAGTAAAATGTAGCCTGTGTCCATCTCCAACATATAAGCTATCTCTGTGCCAAATTTTATTAAAACCTGTTCAGTGGTTTAGAAGTGAAAAGGTAACAGATAGGCAGAATTACCTTCGAATTTATAATATTAGTATGGATTAATATGAATTTCTGCTATAAGGGGTACACGAGTTTGAGCTCTTTCTTGAAGTGGTACGCAGGAAAAACTAATTGGGAACCACTGATCTAGATCGTAGGTTTTATATATAACTTAAGTCTATGTTGCTGATATGAACTATTTTAAAGCTATTGATATAAAGAGCTTTCAATTTTTATTGTTTACATACAAAATTTGGCACAGCAGTTGCTTTTTCACTTATTGGTGACATTATTTCTATTATTTATTTTAAGTTGAAAATTCACACATCAATATATTATATAGGCCTAATGCGTTATAGTAGCCTAAATAGCATATGGAAATATATTCTTATTCTTTTATAAAATTGATTTCATGTATTTCATTTAAAGTGATAACAGTAATAATTTAACCATTTTTATTTACTAAAGAAATCTTCAGATATATAACTATGATGATGATGATGATGACAGACGTCATAAAGATACTGTATAATTTATAGAAAAATACAGTATATTTCTTTTTGACTATACATACATAGATGAGTCTTAAGTCAAAAAGAAATATATTTTTCTATAAATGTCATATTTGTTCTGGCAATTTTTATTTAATATATACTGTATAATTGTTTCATACTGTTATATGGCATATTTCTGGTAGATCTAAAATGTATCAGAAATTGAACTGGTCTTTGCAGCTAATAACAGGTTAATTAATTATTAATTAACTTGTATATCTAGGATTTATGCAAAAAGTGTATAAATCACTTTTTACATAAACCATACTTCTACAACGCAGAGAATTGCCGAAAACTTTTTATATGGAAAATTTCTCCCCTTTTAAGTTGGATGTAACTTTACAACATCACTATTCTTTTCTTCTTGTGAATCATGACATTATATCTACCTTTAAAACTCCTAACTTCAGAAAATTGGAGATTGCAGTGGGTTTTGAAAAAATTTGATTGGATCTAGTGAAGTGATGGAAGCGTAGAATACGTTTCAAATTGCCAACTACCGTATTTTACCACATACTGGTATAAGATGCAAGTTCTGTCACAAAAATAAGCTCAAAAATCGCCCTGCATCTTATACGTAAAGTCGCGGTCCCAAATGCTAATGAATTCTCCAAACGGTCTTCCGTAGGTTACAGGTATCCTCTATTTAGTCCAGCTCTTGAATAAAAATGCTATTGTTTAATTAAACACGTTATTATTTTATTATTTGATATAGCTAATTACCTGATATAGCTAAGCTATTTTGCATGTATTCATGTTGAATATTTTAAGGATAAATTTTAATTGTAAACGCTTTCATTTAATTCCTTTTTTCCTGATAAATAAAAGTGTGCATTTTAATTTTACTTTTTAAAACCAGAATGCAGTATTAAAAAATTGGGAGGAGTGTCGAAGGAACTAAATACACAGTTTTTTCCTTAAATATTCTATACTGAGACGGGAATACGTTCTGTATGCCAGAAAATGGGATGTATTGAAATCATAGCGCTCTCGCTCGATGAAGTAAAGCTATCAACGTTAAATGCAAGCTCGGAAAAGGATATGGCCACAGCCAGTTCATTCAGGAAAAGTATTTGCACCGGCAAAAAAGGGATAAGTGCTATAGTAGAACTTGCTAAATCAGTATAAAATGAAAGTTTCTTTGATATAACTACGGAAGAATTCACACACAGAAACTTCTGTAAAGAATACTACTGTAATAAAACTAGAAAATAAAATAATCTTTTTACAGATCCGCAAAGATATGTTTTTGCGTAGCTGACCAAAAGCTGGTTGTTTGGCTATAATTTAGGTCATCGCCTCCAGTTTATATTATTTCTGGAGAAATGCTTTGCTTATTGCAAATTGCAAATTGCATTATCGACAGCTTATTTGTTTCTTTGACCGAGATGGTAAACAACTGGACGAGTTGTTGACAAAATCTGAAGAGGTAAACGCTATAACAGAAATCGTTTAGATTAAACAAAAGCAGGTTGGCACACAAGAACATTATGTATGGCCGAATTGACAACCAATGATCTAGACTAGAGCAATGGTTCCCAAACATTATGTCCACAGACCATGAACCCCCAAATGAAATAACTCTACACAACTACATGATAGCAAAATTACAAATTTAACTTTGATGTCTTCAATGGTGAATGGTGACGTAAAAATAAAGTATAAATATCAAAATGTTTTATTTAAAGTATTATTTATTTTGATATTTGATATTTATTCTTTCGTGCAAAAGACATACTTGACTGACGGTTTTCGCCTCTGCGGCATACCGTTAGCACAAAAGGAAAACAAACTAATAAATACGAAAATGACTACTTTCGTGACTTATAAACAATTATATATTAGAAAATATTTTTTATGTCAATTAAAATATAGATGTATTACTTGCTGAATTTATCATGGAGGATAGTATATCCTCCGTGATAAATTCAGCAAGTATACAAAAGTATACTTGGATAAAAGTGGAGGATAAAAGTGTGAAGGTCTCAGATCCGACTTTTATCAGGAACAATGATACTTCTTGGGGTGTGCAGAGCTGAGGGAGAGGCTGGCTGGCTAAAGCTTGCCTGTTTTTGAAAAACGGGTATAATTGAGTGAAAACAAAACAAAAAAATGTATAATTTATTTCTAATTGGGTTATAAATAACATTAAAAAAATATAAAATTAATAAGTTTTTTGTTTTATGTATTGAATTTTCATAGAAAAACATTTTTGATCAAAATAAATGAATTATTTTTATATTTTTATTCATTAAATAGTTTTTATAATTATGAAAAACAACCAATAATTATCACTGTTTTGGAAAGAAAAATTAAATAAACTTATAAAAGTCTAAAATGTCATAATGCATGGAATAAATGATGCACAGATCCCATATTCAAAGTGAGCAAGCTTTAGCTAGTATACCCACCGTGCAATGCTTGTCATTACTTGTATTTTATGTACTTATCTATACTTATATTTTACTCAGAACGTAAAAATGACTACCAATTTATTTATTGCTGTTTATTTTTAACTTTGCGACCATTTTCATTATTATGAATCATTTTATTTTTTATTAAACCTTTCACGGACCTCCCTGATGTTGTCCACGCACCCCAAATTAACTTTAATTTTGTACGGATTCCATCAGCGGTTCCAAGGACCCTCAGGAATCCGTAGGAACCACTTTGGGAAACATTGCTCTAGAGTTTATTACGTCAACGCTTATTATTAATACTTAACTTCTAACTCTTGCTTGTGTATACAGATAATAGAGTAATTACTACAAACGATCTTTCGTCTTTACAATAAGTCCCAGGAGATCTGAGGCCATTCTGAGCTCTTCAACTAACACTACAGTCTGCTACAGTCAGCATCGGCCATTGATCGCTTAGTTGTGGCAAGTTACTTCCGGTTTCTTCCTCATTTGTTAAGCATGTCATCGCCATTACAGTGTTAATATTGAGATTTGCTGATGGATCTGCAAACAAGATAGATATTACGGCACTGACATCTATCAATAAACTTTCTTTTTCACCTATAATTTCCACTTTTTAATGTTAGTTTACTTTGATATACAGTAAATACTCGTATATTCGTTTTTACTATGTATCAAAAATAACGTAGATTCTTGGTTTGATTTTACTTGAGAAAAATTCCTTTGAAATTTACGAAATGTGTTCATTTTTCGTATTGAACTTGCAAACTGTGTTGCCGTAAAAAACTAAAGTTTATTTTAATTTTTAAAAATAAATTTCTATTAATATAAGATATTAAGAAAATTCATAGAATAATAGTTTATTGTCAATATTTTTAAATTAAAATTTCAAATATCTTTTGATTTAGTTCATTAATTGTATTTTGTCATAAATCTCTTTCCAGGTTCCTTATGCAAATCTATCAGCCATGTCTGTGCAAGAAACATTTTCTCTTCACAGGACCTACATCGTTTTCCGTTCACTAGGATTGAGACATTTGACCATTGTCGACAGAAGAAATCGTGTCACTGGAATCATTACTCGAAAAGATTTGATGGGATTTCAATTAGAAGAAAGATTAGGAACAATTATCAATCAGAGGTTACTACTGGAAGGACGAGCGGAAGAATTGTCATAGACTAAACATTTATCACTGTTATGTTTTTGTTTATTAAATTTAAAAATGTTATTTTGAAATAATAATTCAAATCAAATGAGAATTAATTAATTGTTTTTGTTATGAACAGTACAAGAAAAATTGCTAAAAAAATATATGTATAAAAAATGTTCTTAAATTTTTCATCTAAATACATTAAGTGTACACAAACTTATATTTGATGCATTAACTTTCAGACAATGAAAATATATGAGTATGTTCCATTTGTTTTGTAGGAGCGATAAGTATACAGTGTACGTAAAAGCAAGGTGAAGGAATTGCTGTAAAATGAATTATAAATGCATGCAGCTTTAAAGGCATCGGAGATCTCACTGATGCACCACTATAATTCATGTTTTAGCAATTCTTTTGCCTTGCTTTTGCATACTTTGTATACCTATCCCCGTTACAAACAAATGGAGCATACCCACATCTTTTCGCAGTCTACAGTGATATGCAACACTTGCATTGGGGGACCTTGAAGTGTCGAGAAATGCCAAAAAATCGGAGTTTTTTTCTGTATGCATGGATGATGATTGCAGAGGGAGCATAATTTTGCTCACTCTCTTTGAAGCTTAACTCCTGTGCTTTTTATCGAAAATTTCTGAAATTATATTGCCGGGAAAGTTAAGCAACTCGTTGCTGGATTTTTTCCAATGATATCAAATTCTATTTGCAATGCTTCTAATAAATCAGAGGCTCTAGAAACGCTCAAGGCATTAGATATAAATAAGGTTGAAAAACCTTTTTCAACATGTTTGCATTTGTTGGCACCTTTTGTCTGATTTGTTTACACAAGAATGAAATCAAGGGACGTATTCAAAACCTCAGCGTCAATCCAGTGAGATGCTGTCAGAAGTGACGCAACTGCTGGCGTTTTCGAGTGAACACAAACGCTGACTGCTGGGGATATGAGAAAGGAAAACAAGCAAAATGGCGAATGATCTGGACTTCCATGTTACGTTAAATTTATTTTTGAACTTATTTAATGAGAACAGGTTAATGAAAAAAATGAATATTTCGAAAAGAGAAAGAGGGATGAAGAATTTTTAAATTTCCGAAGGAGTTATAAATAACGAAACCGATTCTAATACCCAGTTCTAATACTGAGCATTTCAATCTAGATTGTGATAAGATCGGCGACTGTGCCGTGGTGCGACCTCTCTCGACCGTTTAAATCTCGATTGAAACGAGGTTCAACGCGATCGACAGGGGAGCTTTTGAAACTAGATCCAGTCAGAAGAGAGTTCCCACAATCCCACGGGCGCGAGAAGAAACAAGATGGCTGCGGAACAAGAGTTGGACTATCGACAGAGAAATAAAACAGATATTTGGAGAGGATGAGGCTATTGTTAGATATATGGCAAGAAAAAGTAGATGACTTACGCAGAGCCAAAGAAATAGAACTGTGTATCAGGAGATGGCTGCAGCTCTGCCAGAGCATGGACGTGGTGGCAAGATCCTAAGAAAAATAATTTGACTGCAGAATATCGGTAAGTAGAATAAAGATATGATTATCATTATGCTTGCCAGTAACACATCTTTGTTACCAGCTTGCATTTTGTTTTTTGTTGGTGTTCGTGGCGTATTGCGTAGTTATGTCAGCTTTATCATCGCGTGCAATAGCCGGTTTCTTCTCAAATGGACTGCCTGTGCGAGCAGCTCGGCCTTCGACTGGCGACAGTTGCAATAGCGATTGTGGGTAAATCAAGATTAAAAGTGAGTCGTGGAGAATGCAGTATAAGATTACACTTTAACAAGTAAAAAAATTTGATGTCATACGTAAATATACTAGTATATTAAAATATTCTATTAATGTGCTAACTTAATCTTCATTTATTCATCAACAAACAATTGACATTCCCATTGTCAACGCAAAATAGAGCTCTTACGAGTCTCACGGTGGCTGCCATCTTGTTTGCTGGCGTGTCGAGCACCGAAAAAGACTGCTTTCAGTTTACTGGCAGCAACCGGAAGTTGCCTGAAATTTTGAATACCCCAAAGTATATTTATCTAATAACTTCCTGTTAAGGCTTAGGGCAATTTAGTTCTCTAATTAGCTTTTTGGTTTCTAACCCAAGGTCTTGGGTTCGCGAAGTCTTGTATACTGCACGTTAAAGGATTAAGTGTTAGTACAACAATATGTTATTGAGAAACAAAAGATTGGCTAACAGCATGCTAGGATCAGCATTTCTGACTGAAAAAATGATATTCACTCTTTCTTCCTGATCAAGAATTTGCTTTAAACAAAGCAAGTAAACGTTATTATTGTTCATTAAACATGTTGAACAACATTTCCGATGTATCACACTTGAGTTGAACCCATTGATCGCATAAACGTCTAACAATAGAAGCTACGGAAAGCCATCTTGTTTGGCATGCTTGAACAATCTTCAAAGGACAATGATCATCGTTGATTGTTGCATGAAGTTGCTTGTATGCTAACTGGTGAGAACGAAACCAATTGAACCAACTGTACGCTTTAGTAGCCAGAAATTCCAAATGCCTAGGAAAAATTTCACTGCAGCGGATGCAGCTAATTGTAAATATTGACAGACATTTAACTAGTATCAAGTAGTGAAGGTATTTCTTGTTTTAACCTGGCATAAAGACCACTGTTTTCTTCAATCGTGGCATTAACATTATCTCTTCCAATACCAACAAGCATTTTAATATTTAATTTGCATTCTTCAAGAGTTTTTTTTAACACATTAGACATGGCTTCTGCCTTATAGTTACCTAGCACTGCTAGCTTTAAAAATAAGAAAACAATTTTTCTTTAGCAGTGTCGAAATAAATTACAGCAATTTTTTGAAATATCTGCTCACACAGATGTCGATTGATTCAACTAATAAAATGCTATACCAACCATCTGCAATATCATTTATTAGTATAGTTGAAGCAGTGGTTACATTTTTAATGATTGCAGAACATTTAGTATAGTAAAGGTGCATACAGTATTACAGTGGTACCTCAGGATACGAAATTAATCCGTTCCGAAACTGAGATCGTATCATGAAAATGTCGTAAGGTGGATCATCTTTTCCCATACGATTACATGTAAAACCAAATAATTCGTTCCAACGCGAAAAACATACTCAAATTAAAGCCAAGT